CAGCTTTTCCCCTCACGATTAGCTTGTATTTAGGGACTGCTTATTATCAATGCGTGAAATTTTGTTGAATACAATCTGCATTTTCTTTTTCCTCTTTAATCATCCTTTTAAGAAATGGAAAAGAAAAGGGACCGCAGGTATATAAGATAATAAACTGAAAAATCCAAACGGAAGATAAAAGCCTGAAGGTCCTCAATGTGAATATACCTGGTAAACAGGATAGCTCATTGATAAAGAGTGGGATTCAGTTATAGAATTCCAAATGGAGACCAAATTTTTCCTCAGAAAGCATCTCCAGCTTCTTGAATATTTTGACTGCAAAGAGCAATAAATTATAGATGCAAGCTGAATCATAGCTGTGGATAACAGCCTTACTCCATTTAAACTCCACTAGTACTGTGAATCAGGAGCAGAGTGAAATACCAATACTTAGTTGTCCAGTGGGTTACATAAAGATGAAAAATCAATGGTCATTGTCCATGAAATCGCGAATTTTGAAGATGCACATACTTAATTGGCACTGACTTGAAACAAACGGAAATGGACGAAAACTACAGGTTAGAATTTATTAAAATTTTGAATTTTGGAACACCTATATCTAGTTGTCATAAGGTCAAAACAAATAAAAATGAATCAGAATTGTGGGTTATAGCTCATGAAAATCATGAATTTTTAAGTGCATATAGTTAACAATTGGGTCAAAACAAATAAAAATGAACAAAAATCATGGAGTATGACCCATGAAATTGCGAATTTTGAAGTACATGTCTTTCATTGCAATTAGATCGAAATAAATGAAAATGGTCGAAAATAATGGGTTGGAGCCCATAAAAATAACGAATTTAAAGTAGCTATACTTAATAGTTGTTCTTTCAATGAATGAAAATCTACGAAAAATTATGATTTTAAAATACAAGTGCTCAATTACCATTTAGTTGAAAGGAACACAAATTGATAAAACATGTGGGTTACAACCCATGAAAATAGCGACTTTTAAAGTACCCATCCTTAATTGTCATTTGGTCGAAGTGAATGAAAACTAATGCAAATCCTGAGTTGTAGCTTGATCACTATATTTTATCGCACTTTTATACCCTTACTGTCTATCTTAATTTGAATAAGATATCCGCTAATGAGTGTTTTTATCTTAATTTGTAAGAAATAAAGAATTAAGGAATAAGAGCCCAAAAGAATTCAAAACTCTCATTTTTTTTTCAACCTTTATTGAAGCCCAATGTCAAAACAAAAGAAGCCCATGGAAAACCATACAAAAGAGCTAAAGAACTTCAACCAAAAGAAAGGGAAGCGAAGAAGTATCAATAGGAGTATCGATATTTATATCGATAGCAGTTTCGATAGGGGTTTTGATACTGGTATCGATACAAGTATCGATACCTAGTAAACAGTTATGAATCAAATACTGAAATTGTGAAGCTTAAGAGTTAACTTTTGATCTATAAGGGTTAATATTGATTGTAATACACTATAAATAGGGATAGAGAGTAATGGTTTAAGTGAGAAAGTTGATTTTATAAACTCCTCTTTGGAGAGGACCTTTAATTAGGTCTTCCAAATGGCAAATCTTTTTAGTTTGCATTAATAAAAAAATTTATTCCTCCCTTTTAATTTTATCTCTTCTTGTTTGTTGATAAAGATGAAAATTTACTTTCAAGAAGCTAACTCCTTGCGATGTACGCTTTTTTATCTTTTATTTTGTACTTTAGAAATTCATATTTTAGGACTTTATTTTCTTTTTATTTTGATGTTTTGTAATATAGAATTACTTCATGCTCTTTCATTTGTTGTTTATTTTTCATGCTTCGTAGAATTTATTTTTTACATTTTTATTAGTTGGATTTTCTTTATGCTTATAGTTAGATCTATATTTTCTTGTTCTTGCTCTTATTTTTTGCAGTTAGTTTACAATTTTTTTTTATAATTTAGATCTTTTTCTTTTATGCTTTCTAGTCTAGATTTTATTTTCTTATTTTTATTTTATAAAACGAGTACCTTAAATATTGTAGAAATTCTAGAATTGTATGAAACTAGTTTATTTCTTTTATGATTTATAGATTGCTCTGTTGGGGATTCGAAACAATCAATCGAACCCATGCCCTTCCTAACCTTGTGTTGAAAGTAGGAAAGTAGGAAATTCACCATAAATTAGATCAAAAACTTGTAAAAGAGTAAATGAGATGAACACACCAGATTTAACGAGGTTCGGCAAACGTGCCTATGTCCTCGGGAGCCACACCACACAATTCTTTTATTAATTGAAGAAGAAATACAAGCTCTCAAATTAGAGTTTTATCTCTCTGAGATTCTCTCTCTTTTCTGCAGTCAAAAAGCTCTCTTTTTCATATTCTTTTAAGCCCTAAAAACGTTTAGGTATATATAGAGTCCTAGAAGAAACATAATCCAAAACAAATAAGAAAACTGGCTGACTGCGTCGCGGTCGACCGTGGCGGTCATCCGCGCAGGTATCGCGGTCGACCGCAGCGGTCGATCGTATCAAACGACAGAGCCAAAAAAATCCTACAGGGTATCCACGGTCGACCGCGGTGGTCGACCGAACCAAAACCCGAGACCAAAATCCATTACAGAGATTTGTGCGATCGACCACCACGATCGACCGCCTTTAGCTCCAGGCTCTACCCAGCTCTGTGCACGTTCGCGGTCGACCGCTGCGGTTGACCGTGCAGGCCTCCTCCTGTTTTCTCGATTTTTTCTTCGTCTTCTTGATTCCAGCTTCGGCTTCGACTTTGGGTCTACACTTTAGACTAACATGCTCTCTTATGCTTAAAATGATCATGTTTAGGGTAATCAACTAGACAACTAATCACTAGAAGAAGAATTTTATAATCTATACTTATCTAGAGTGGTTTTATAGGTCATGCTTATTAATTCTACAATTATTATCTAGTTGTTGTTCTTTTCATGAATGGAATTTTACATAGATGATAATTTGATGGATTATGCTTTCTTTTAGTAGTTTGATAATCTATGCTTAATAAATCTAAATTAAATATGATAAAAAAGAATGGTTCATAAATCATAAATGAAATTAACCAGTGGAATCAATTTAGATTTCTCATTTCTCTACTTGATTTCCTCCGTCTTTGAGTTGCTTTGATTTTTCTCTTTTTGATGATTTTCTTCTCCTTTTAATTTTGTTCTTTTATATTTTCTTATTCCTTCTCCTTGTTTAGTCTCATTTTCTCCTATTTGTTCACTTTTTTCTCTCATCTTGTTCTAATTTTTTATTTACAAATAATCATACACTTTTTGTATCTCTACACTTTCACTCCTCTTTGTCGACACACAATTCTAGGATCTAATTTAGAATATTTTCTACACATCTTCCTCGTGGATTCGACATCTTTCTATACTATAAATTTATAGTAGTCCTCTTACAACATTAGTGCATGTTTATTATGCCATCATTAATTTTTTGGCGCCGTTGTCAGGAAAGGTGCTTGTAATTAGGATTTTTTTTCTATTTTGATTCTTTGATTTATGTGTTTCTTGTGAAGAAGGTCCAATCCAGAAGATTGAAACTTGAAGATGAAATATTAAAGATTGAAAATTTGCTTAAAAAAGTAAGTCCTCTTTCTAGTATTTTCAATTTCACCCTCTAGTTTAGGCTCTTCACATTAGAGACAATTAAGAACTAATAAAAAACATAAAAATTTCTCTTCTTGACCCTATTAAAATCCACTCTCTACTTGAGTCACTACTAACAAAATAATAAATTCAAACAAGGGCTATCTTTCTCACATTTGTTTGATTGTTAACCCTTATTAAAAAATAAAAAGATTTTCTATTTGCATCTTTTTATAGTTACTTGTAATTTTAAGGGTTGTATTGTATATCATTTGTAGGAATCTTGATTTGAGTATTTTGATTTGAGCACTCATTTGAAAATACCTTTAATGACAAAAATCCACTATCAAGCTAAGATAAGGATTTTATCACCCTTTCTCTAGCTCACAAATTACTAATTCCTCATTACACAAATCCAAGCTTTCTAAAATTCATTAGACATTGACCCTTATGGACTCAAGCTCATTATGGAACAAGAAATTCTTGAGTGGACCGATTTAAGTTTACTTGAATTTGTTTGTGTCTAAGGCTAGGTTTAGCGGTCGCATAAAGTGCTCCACAAAGAAAGATGTACTTTATTAGTCCTTGATCTCTCTCGAGTACTATCCTTACTTGGTAATTGACCAAGTAAACTCTAATCTTTTCACTCAAGGAGTTTTTGATTAGGAACTTGTCTAGTTGAGTCTAGACTTAATCCTAAAAGTAAAGGTGATTGTTTCAAAGTGGTTACTCTTGATTTGTTTATTTAGATTTTTTTATCCTTCCTCTTTTCTCTCACCTATCTTTTAGGTCTTTTAGTTTTTCCTGAAAAAACAAAAAAATAATAATTTAACTTTCGTTATTCCTATATATTTTTCTCTATTTTTTTAGATATAAAAAAAAACTAAAATGAATTTGCTTTAGTGTATGTGAGTTTGAATTAGGGATAATACCAATTGGTTAATCCATGTTGAACCAATTCTTAAAATCAAAGAATCGGTAAATCCTAATGCACTTGTTCTTCCAGACATGTGTTATCACACTAGGAATACAATCTCATCTTGCATTTGGCTTCCTGATGTCAATTGAGCTAAATTTGAGCTTAGAAAATGAACCTAAAGATGCTTACATTTTTATTTCTGAGTTTGAGTAAGTTTGTCTTAGGATTAAGATTAAGGAAATCCGAAGATGTGATTAAGCTT